AGAGCGTCTTTGAGAAACTCTCAAAGTGGATAAGCTTTTGAATGCTGTGAGTGGGCTGAAGTTAAATGCCACTTTTTTCACAGATGAATTATTGAGCACCCTGGACAAATCCAAAGCTTGGGATGTACCAGTAGGCGAAGTGTGACAGGCTCGGCGGGGTGGGGAGTGCGTTGTGCTCAGGTCTGGAGGGAATCCCTCACTGTGTGCTCCAATAAAGGAACCTGAAGATGTTTGTGGATGGGTCATTCTCGTCTTTGGTTTTAGACATTCACGTTCTCAGAGACTAGAGAAAGGGAAAATTACAGTACAAATTACAGTGCAGATAACCTGTAGAAAAGGGTATAAGCTGGGCTGGCGCCATGGCTCACTAGGCTAATCCTCCGCCTGCGGGGCTGGCACACCCGGTTCTAGTCCCGGTCCGGGCGCCGGATTCTGTCCCGGTTGCCCCTCTTCCAGGCCAGCTCTCTGCTGTGGCCCGGGAGTGCAGTGGAGGATGGCCCAGGTGCTTGGGCCCTGCACCCCATGGGAGACCAGGAGAAGCACCTGGCTCCTGGCTCTGGGTTGGCGCAGTGCTGGCTGTAGTGGCCATTTGGGGGGTGAACCAATGGAAGGAAGACCTTTCTGTGTCTCACTAACTCTTTAAAAAAAAAAAAAGGTATAAGCTAGGCAGTATGAAATTCATTTTAATTGAAATGTAAGTAAAGGTTTCTAAAGAAATTATTGGGTAACTTGGGTTTTAACTATTCAGGAGAAAGTTCCTCAATAGGTAAGCCTGCAGTGCTGTTTTTTGTTTGTTTTTTTGGCCACAGCTGGTGGTGTCTTGGGTGCTGGTGAGATCCTCATGCTGTTGGGTTTTCCATCACTGATTTTAGAGTTTGTTGAGAAACGGAACTGGCAGCCACACACCCGTGAGGGCTCTGGCTGGGCCGGGCCTGGGCCTGACCAAAGCTGGGATCCTGGAGGTAACTGGGGCTTCTGTGAGAGGTAGGAAGCTGCCTGAGCCGTTACAGCTGCTGGCCAGGGTGTGCTTTAGCAGGAAGCCGTAGTCTGGACCCCAAGCCCGTGATAGCCAGGTGCTTCCAGGAAGGGAGGTGGGTCAGGACCCCGCAGTGTGGCTTAGTGGAGCCACGTCTTGGGATGTCGAGTTTGCCAGCTCTGCCAGTGGCACCCGGGGAAGCAGCCGAAGGTGGCTGAGGTGCTTGGGCCCCTGTACCCACGTAGGAGACTTGGTTGGAGTGCCCAGTTCCTGGCTTTTAATCTGGCCCAGACCTGGCTGTTTTGGCCTTGGAGTGAACCTGGCAGTGGAAGGTCTCTGAGTCTGCCTTTTAAATGAACAGAAAGTGAGCAGGCAAAATGGCAGCCTTCACCCACCAGCCCTCGGCCCCACTGTCGCCTCCGGGCGGGCTCTGGGACTTTCAGCGGGCTGGTGGGACAGTTGGAGCGGCTGGTACTGAGCTTGATTGGCTGGCACGCGTGCGTCACATCTGGTGTTAGCTGCTTGGCTCTGACACAAACATGAAGTTTTGGTTCTTGCATGCATTTTTGGGGGGTTTTGGGCTTGATAATCACTGCTGTTTTCAGTCCAAGAAATAGGTTTCTGCCTTTTTTTTGTGGTGGTGGATTTTGCTTAGGGATCTTGATTATTACAAAAACAGTTCTGTGTAAGGGCCGAAACTCAGGGTTTCCTGGGGAAGTTCTTTGATGAGATCCGTGAACAGTTTACTCTTTATTTGAAAGGCAGAATTAGAGGTCTGCCATCTGCTGGTTCACTCCCCAAATGGCCGCAATGACTGGAGCTGGGCCAGGCGGAAGCCAGGAGTTTATTCCCAGTCTCCCACATGGTCGCAGGGCCCTCGGGACTTGGGCCATCTTCCACCAAGCAGGGAGGAGGATTGGAAGTGGTCCTCACAAAACGGGTGTGTATATAAACAAGGACAAAAGGGTGTGTTCCAGATGGACAAACACTGCGAAGGTAGGTGTGCGGGGAGGGGGAGGCGTCTATACAGCCTGGTGGGGAGTTCTAGCTTCCCTCCAGCCTGGCGGTCCAGTGATGGCAGTTAGCTGGAGAGTGGGCTGCACTGTTCACGACCCAGTGGGTGCTGGACATGAACCTGAGCTCATGAGGAGGCCCATCTCCGGGTGGTCCCAACAGACACTGGCGGGCTGCTCAGAGTCAGCCCAGGGCTTGCTCTCCCAGTGCAGGTGTGTTAGGTGGGTTCTGCTAACTGAACCCTTTTTTCTGCCAAGGGTCGTTTGGATATAACATTCCCAGGCCTAAAACATTACCAGCTGTTGTGGAATAGTGGGGAAAGCTGCCGCCTGCAACACTGGCATCCCATGTGGGTGCTGGTGTGAATCCCAGGTGCTCCCTGCTAACAGCCCGGGAAAAGCGGGGGAGGATGGCCCATGTGGGAGACCCGGACGAAGCTCCTGGCTCCTGCCTGGTCCGGCCCAGTGACTGGCCATTCAAGCACTAGGCCAGCAGATGGAAGTACGTCTCCTGCCTGCAGTTGCCTTGGCAGGCCAGACGTTCCCGCCCCTGCTAGTGTGGGGTGGGGAAACACCTCAGCAGACTTGGACAGTGAATTCAGCTCTGGCTGTGGGGAGAGGAGGGAAGCCTTCCCAGGAAAGTGATTTCCAGTTATTGGGAAGTAGCCTTCACCCATCAGTTCAAATATGGAGATCTATTTGAAGGGAGACAGCTTTCATCTGCTGGTTCACACCCAAAACAGCTGCAAAACCTCCGGGGCTCCACCAAAGCCAGGAGCCAGGAACTCCAGGTCTCCCAGACAGGTGCAGGGACCCAAGCACTTGGGGGTAGGGAGCTGGACTGGAAGGGAAGCAATCAGGACTTGAGCCAGCACCCACAGGGGATGTCCACGTCGCAGGCATGGCCTTCGCCTGTGTACCGCACCACCAGCCGACATTTCTAAGTGCTGCTTGGCAAGGCTGGTTAAACTTTTATTTATTTTTTTGACAGTGGACAGTGAGAGAGAGAGACAGAGAGAAAGGTCTTCCTTTTGCTGTTGGTTCACCCTCCAATGGCTGCCGCAGCCGGTGCACCGTGTTGATACGAAGGCAGGAGCCAGGTGCTTCTCCTGGACTCCCATGTGGGTGCAGGGCCCAAGCACCTGGGCCATCCTCCACTGCACTCCCAGGCCACAGCAGAGAGCTGGCCTGGAAGAGGGGCAACCAGGACAGAATCCGGCGCCCCGACCGGGACTAGAACCCGGTGTGCCGGCGCCGCAAGGCAGAGGATTAGCCTGTTGAGCCACAGCACCGGCCTTTTTAAACTTTTAAATGGTGGGTAACAACACACAGCTCAGGACAGTGTGATGACCCCATTTAAGGGGTTGACGCTGCGGCGTAGCAGGTAGAGCTGCCCCTGTGGCACCAGCATCTGGGCGCTGGTTCAAGTCCCGGCTGCTCTGCTTCTGATCCAGCTCTCTGCTGTGGCCTGGGAAAGCAGTAGAGGATGGCCCAAGTCCGTGGGCCCCTGCACCCACATGGGAGACCGGGAGGAAGCTGGCTCCTGGCTTCAGATCAGCGCAGCCCCGGCTGTTATGGGGAGTGCACCAGCAGGTGGAAGACCTCTGTTTCTTGCCTCTGTTTTTCAAATAAAATCTTAAAAAAAAAAAAAAAAAAAAAAAAAAAAACCTAGTATGTGCCAAGTGCTTGTGTTAAATGTCCAGCCCTCAAAAACTGGGCGGCTGGCGTGGTGCAGCGGTTACGCGGCCAGATCAGCGACGGTGTGTGAGCCGCCCTCACTTCTGACCCCTTGGACGAGGTGCCGTCCAGTGAGGTCTTGGCACGGTCCTGGGAGGCTGGAGTGCTAGGAAGTGACGAAGCAGCCGGCCCTATCACGGAGAAAGAGCCAGGGTCCCTCGTTAGGGCTACTTTCCTGAGACGGTGGGGGTTGCACCAGCGTGTCTCCCGGTGAGGCGGGCTTGGGTGACAGCCCAGTGACCGCACCTGCGAGCTCAGGTAGGTGGGGGCCTGAGGGACACTGGGTTCATTCAGCGTCATTTGCCATCATTCCAGGGAAGCTTTGCTTCCTAACGACGTCCGTGTTCTTGTAGTGACTGACGCCTAGACAGAGCCAACCACTCCGTGGGGTGACTGCTTTGGGATTAGCCCATTTCACACCAAGGACATCCCGACGAACTGGCCTGGAGCCTTAGCGGGGGTGGGGGGCGCCCAGAGGCGGTCGCAGCCCCGAGCGCACTCGCTACGCCGGTGAGCAGCCGCCAGGGGGCGCCTCCCGGCCCGGGGCGAAGTTGGAGAGGCCGGGTCCGGCCCCGGGGCGCGGGGCCTGTGTCACACCGAGCGTGGCCTGCAGCCCTGGGGCCGCGGAATTTCAGAACTGGGGCTTCGAACCTCATGAAGGCACGGGATGCGGGGCGCGAGTCCGGTGCGGCCGAGGGGCGGCGCTGGTCCCCAGGCGCCGGGCGGGCCAGCAGGTTTCGGGAGGGGGCGCCCGATCCCGCATCTCCGGTGCCGCTTCCCGGGAAGTTTCAAGTTTGAAAGTCCTGGCGGAGGGGCTGGGGCTTCCGGCACCGGAGTGGCGGAGAGGAGGGGCCCAGCGTTCGGAGCGGCGCCATGGAGGAGGGGGCGCCGCGGCAGGTGAATGGCGCGCGCGGACGGGGGTGCGGGGCTGCCTCGCTCGCCGCCCCGGGCGCCCCAGTCGCTGGCGCGTCTCCAGCCCCCGGCTCTAAACCGGCGGCCCGACCCTCCGCCCCGGGCCCCGCGACTCCTAGGCTGGGCAGACCTGAGCGCTGGGAACGTCCCCAGGGTGGGTGACGCAAAGCCCCGGGCGGGTCAGCCCCGGAGCTCCTCTCGGTGCGCCCCTGACTTGCCTGGAGGCAGTTCCTCCAGGCGGGACCCTAGGGCCAGTGGGAATTCGCTGGGAGCGCACAGCCGGTGCAGGCTGGCGCGCGGGAGCAGAGGCGGGTGTGTGCCCCAGGGGGCGCCTCCCAGGGCCCAGGGGCACCGTCGGGAGTGTTCGGTTCGGCGCGTGCACGCCCGCGGAGGGCCCGGCTCTGGGCCAGGGCGGGAACCTTCGGATACACAGAGCGCCCCGGGGCGAGCTGGCGGCGGGCGGCGCGAGCCCAGGAGCTCCGCTGCGTGCGTCGTGGAGGAGGGACGGGGCGGGGGTGTCCCAACCTGGAGCGCGTGCGGCGGGGTAGCGTGGGGAGGAGGACTCCAGCCCGGGGCACGCAGCACCGGGGTGTGCCCGGCTGAGGTATAGGAGCCAGGGGCTGCCTGGTGCCCCCACCGCGCCCACCCCGGCAGCCTGCAGGTGGCCGGCCTCTTCCACCCACTGCGCCCAGAGCCTCTGCCGGTTCCAGGCGCAGCGTGTACACATTTTCCGATTTCCTCCCAGCCTCCGCCCTGCCGCGGCCCGGTGACTCAGGACCCCGGCGGCCGGGCCCCCAGCTCCAAGGGCTCTTTGTTTGCTCAGGGCTTTGGCTCCAGCCCTTCTGCCTGGGGCGGTCAAAAGGATTTCCTGAGCCTCGCCCTGGCCCGCTGACGGCCTGGCCAGTGGGCCCTGAGGAGGCCTGGGGTGGGGGTCCCCGAGGCAGGGCAGCCAGCCCCAACACTGGGCTGGGGAGATGGCCGGCAGAGAGGTAAGTGGTGGGGGTGGGGGGCGGTGGCTACCTTGGCCGCCACCACCGTGGGCTTTGGCACGGGTTGGTTTGAGCACAGGCCTGGGGAGGTTTTCCTCTCCGTGGCTCCATCCTGGGGTGAAGCGAGCTTTCTGCTTCCTCCCGGGCCCCCCTCAGCACTGCTGCCCCGCTGCCCGTCGTGGCCTTGGGGTGTTGGAAGGAAGCCCCTTGGTCCAGCCCGGATTCTGCTTTGATTCCAGACTAGGAGGCCGCAGTGTGGCTGGCAGGCAGGGGCCGGGGCCTCCTCTCTGTGTTGGGGGTGTGGGCCCGGTTCTTAGCTTCTCTGTGTCCGTTCCCACATCTCCAGGCCCAGCACGCCGGGCAGTGAGAGTGGTGAATGACTGCCCCGTGTCTTCTTGGCAAGAGTGTGTTCTGAATCTGGGCCGGCAGTTAAGACACTGGTGGGGGCACCCCATCCGACGGCCCAGGGTCCACGCCCGCCCGCAGCTCTGGGTTCCAGCTTCCTGCTCGTGCCCACCCGCAGAGACCCGGATGGAGTTCCCAGCTCCTGCCTTGACAGCACTTGGGGAGAGAACCAGGAGATGGGAGCTCCCTGTCTCTCAGATACATTTCTTTTAAAAAAAGATTTGTTTATTTATTTGAAAGGCAGAGTTACAGCAAGGCAGGGCGGCGGGGGGAGGGGGGCTTCCGTCCGCTGGTTCACTCCCTAGATGGCCACAATGGCCGGAGCTGGGCCAATTCAAAGCCAGGAGCCTGGAGCTTCTTCCAGGCCTGCCTCATACGTGCAAGGGTCCCAGCACTTGGGCCACCTGCTGCTGCTTTCCCAGGCCATAGCAGGGAGCTGGATCAGAAGTGGAGCAGCGGGGACTTGAACCAGTGCCCATATGGGATGCCGGCGCTGCAGGTGGTGGCTTTACCACTACGCCACAGCACTGGCCCCTCAGATAAATTTTTTGTCTGGGTGCTGAGCACCAGAGGCAGAGATGTGTCCCAAGATGTGTCCCCGTGTGGGTCCTGCGCGCCGTCTGCCCCAAGCCCCCGTGTGGGTCCTGCGCGCCGTCTGCCCCAAGCCCCCGTGTGGGTCATGCGCGCTGTCTGCTCCTTGCCCCCGTGTGAGTCTGAGCGCCGCCTGCCCCAAGCCCCCGTGTAGAGTCCAGAGGCCCCGTCTGCCCCAAGCCCCCGTGTGGGTCCTGCGCGCCGTCTGCCCCAAGCCCCCGTGTGGGTCCTGGGCGCCGTCTGCTCCTTGCCCCCGTGTGGGTCCTGGGCGCCGCCTGCCCCAAGCCCCCGTGTGGGTCCAGGGCCCCGTCTGCCCCAAGCCCCCGTGTGGGTCCTGCGCGCCGTCTGCCCCAAGCCCCCGTGTGGGTCCTGCGCGCCGTCTGCCCCAAGCCCCCGTGTGGGTCCTGGGCGCCGCCTGCCCCAAGCCCCCGTGTGGGTCCTGCGCGCTGTCTGCTCCTTGCCCCCGTGTGGGTCCTGCGCGCCGTCTGCCCCAAGCCCCCGTGTGGGTCCAGGGCCCTGTCTGCTCCTTGTGCTGCGCCCTTGGAGGACCCACCAGGCCTCACCCTTCTCCGTCCGCAGCAGCCTGGATCCGGTCAGCGGCCCCTGGAGGAGGAGAAAGAGGCCGTCCGCCGGGCCATCCAGAAGGAGCTGAAAATCAAGGAGGGCGTGGAGAACCTGCTGCGTGTGGCCACGGACCGCCGCCACCTGGGCCACGTCCGGCAGCTGCTGCGGGCCTCCAACCGCCGCCTGGAGCAGCTGCATGCTGAGCTGCAGGAGCTGCATGCCCGCGTCCTGTTGCCCGGCCCGGCCCCGGCCGGTGAGTGGGGAGTCGCCTTCTCCCACAGCCCCTGCTGAGTGGCCCAGGAGGGGAGGGAGGGAGGGAGGAGAGGGCCAGGCCCTGGGTGAGAGCGGGGCCCTGGGTGACGGGTCCGTGTGCCCCACCCTCCCTGCACACAGAGCCTGTGGCCTCGGGCCCCTGGCCACGGGCGGAGCAGCCACGAGCCCGGCACCTGGAGGCTCTGCGGAGGCAGCTGCAGGTGGAGCTTAAGGTGAAACAGGGGGCTGAGAACATGACCCACACGTGTGCCCGCGGCACCCCCAAGGTAAGGCCCGGGGGAGGGGCGAGGCTTGGCTCACGGACCTCAGGGGAGGTGCATCCCAGCCACTGACCCCGTCCTTGGTCTGATGGGGACATGCACCCTCAGGTCCCAGTCGGGTGGGAAGGCGTGGCCCTCACCCCTGGTCCACCAGGGAAGACCCCGACACTGGTCCAGTGGGGTCCCAGCTGGTCCCAGCCTCGACTCCCAGCTTGATGTAGGGAACCTGGCCCAGTGCTCCTCTGACAGGAAGGATCTGATGGGGGAGGCGGCTTGACCCCTGTCTGATCTGATGGAAGAGGCTTAGCCTTCCTTCGATCTGATCTAATGGAAACAAGCTTAACCCTGGCCCTGGTCTGATGGAGGAAGCTAGCCCTGGTCCTGATGTGAGGGAGGAGGCTTGATCTTAGCCCTTGCAGGTCTGATGGAGGAAGCTCTGCCCGCTACCCTTGCCCTGGTCCGAGAAGGGAGGCTCGGCTGTAGTGTCTGGTTTCGCTCTGTGGGGGGGGGGGGCTAGGCACTTGGCTTTGACTCTGGTAGGATGGGGGTGTCTCTGGCCAGCCCTGGTCTCATGGGCACGGGTCACGTCCCCGTAGGAGAGGAAGCTGCTGGCCGCTGCCCAGCAGATGCTGCGGGACAGCCAGCTGAAGGTGGCCCTGCTGCGCATGAAGATCACCAGCCTGGAGGCCAGCGGGGCCCCTGAGCCAGGTGAGGCTTGGGGAGGCGGGGCGGGAGCGGCGGGGTGGGGGCGGGGCGGGGCTGCTGACCGCTCTCCCCCGCCAGGCCCTGAGCTGCTGGCCGACGAGCTGCAGCATCGACTGCGCATCGAGGCCGCTGTGGCTGAGGGCGCCAAGAACGTGGTCAAGCTGCTCGGCGGCCGGAGGACGCAGGACCGCAAGGCCCTGGCTGAGGTCAGGCCGTGCCCCTCCCTCGGGGGTCTGCCCGTCTCCATGCGCAGCGGCGGGAGTCACTGCTGGACGGGCCACGCAGGCTGGCAGCGGAAGCAAGGGGCACATGTGGTGGCGACCTCAGGCGGGGTGGCTCCGGGTGGCGCGGGCCAGTGCCCCCCACCCCGTGCCCCATGGCCTGCCCCTGCCCGTGTCTCCTTTGCAGGCCCAGGCCCAGCTCCAGGAGTCCTCCCAGAAGCTGGACCTCCTGCGGCTGGCCTTGGAGCGGCTGCTGGAGGGCCTGCCTCCCACCCACCCTCTGCGCAGCCAGGTGGCCCGGGAGCTGCAGGCGGCGCCGCTGCTTGGGAACCCCCAGCCCTCAGCGACACTTGGGAAGCCCACCGCCCTGACAGGTAGCCGGGGGTCCCTCCCGCTGCGGAGCTCCCCTTCTCTTTGGGGGACTATGGCAGGAAGGAGCTTCGGGGGAGGGTTCCAATCCTGGCCCCAGCACCCCAGCGCCCACTGGGTTAGGACCCTGGGCAAGCGACGGCCCTTCTCTGAGCCTCAGTTTGTGCACCTGTGGAATGGTGGTGCTGAGAGCCCCTGCCTCTTAGGGGTGATGTAATCAGTGCTCAAACACGGTAGCCGTTACTACTTTCAAAATTATTTAATTATTTGCTTGTGCTTAATTAAAAGGCAGAGAGAGAGAGAGGAGTCTTCCAACCCTTGGTTCACTCCCCAGATGCCTACAATAACCAGGACTGGGCCATGCCAGAGCCAGGAGCCAGGAACTCAATCCGGGTCTCCCCTGTGGGTGGCAGGGACCCAGTTACGTAGCCGTCGCCTGCTGCCTCCCAAGCTGTGCGTTAGCGACCACAGTTTGTACCCACGAGGGTGGGGGGAAGAGCTGGGTTTTACCCTCACTGTTCAGATGGAATCTGAGGCCAGGGCTAAGTGGGATGGAGCCAGGCTTCTCCCTCGCCACCCAAGATCGCATCCCTGCCCTGGTGCGGAAGCTGGCGCGACCTGTGGCTCCCAGCAGCCTGGCCTGGCCTGGGCCCAGCTCCTCTGCCCGTGATCCCGCCCCCTGGTGTAGGAAGGAGGGCTGCTGGGCTGTCTCAAGGATACCCAGTGGCCTCCAGAGCCTGCTCTGGGGACCTAGGGCCTCGGGCAGCCATGTCCCTGGCGTCCAGGGCGCCGTGGGGGCAGTGGGACGAAGGCGCCTGACAAGCAGTCCACGGATTCTGCGCAGGGACCCTGCACGTCCGCCTCCTGGGCTGTGAGCAGCTGCTGACCACCGTGCCTGGGCGATCTCCAGCGGCCGCGCTGGCTGGCAGCCCCTCTGAGAGCTGGCTTCGGGCCAGGGCCAAGCAGCCGCGCGGCGGAGGCGGCCTGACCAGTGAGTTGGGGAGGAGCTGTGAGGGGCGGCCATGGGGGGAGCCTGTCCTGAGCCCGTCCTGAGTCCCCGGCCCTGCCCTGCAGGCGAGGTGCTGGCAGTGCTGAAGGTGGACAACCGCGTGGTGGGCCAGACGGGCTGGGGACAGGTGGCCAAGCAGTCCTGGGACCAGACCTTTGTCACCGCCCTGGAGCGCGTAAGGCTGGCCGTGGTGCGGTCCTGGTAACGGTGGGCCACGGGCTGGAAGGCCCTCCGGGGCAGGTCACCTGCCGCACCCCATGCCCTTCAGCCTGGCCTCCCCAACGTAGGCCCGCGAGCTGGAGATCGGCGTGCACTGGCGGGACTGGCGGCAGCTGTGTGGCGTGGTCTTCCTGAGGCTCGAAGACTTCCTGGATAATGCCTGTCACCAGCTGACCCTCAGCCTGGTGCCGCAGGGGCGGCTCTTCGCGCAGGTGCCCCGAGAGCCCCCGAGTGTATCAGGGATACTGGAGACAGGGCCGGCCGGGGAGGGCTCCACGCCCCGGGGCCTGGGTTTCCCCCAGGGACTCATGAGAATGGGGCTGCTGTGGCTCTGGGCCCTCCGGCTCCCGCATTGGTTGAGGGGGAGCACGGGCTGGGGTCGGAGGGCGGGGAGGCACTGTGGCCGGTGGGGAGGGCGGGACCGTCTCCAGCCCTGTCCCTGGCCTTGCAGGTGACTTTCTGCGACCCAGTCGTTGAGAGGAGGCCCCGGCTACAGAGACAGAAATGCATTTTCTCCAAACGGAGAGGTGTGCAGGGGCCAGGGCTGTGCATGGATGGGGCGGGGCTGGGGCATGGGGGGGCGGTTCCCTGGCACTGAGCCGCCCTCTCCCCCCAGGGCAGGACTTCCTGAGAGCGTCCCAGATGAACCTCAGCATGGCAGCCTGGGGACGCCTGGTCATGAGCCTGCTGCCCCCCTGCAGCTCGCCCAGCACCATCAGCCCCCCAAAAGGGGGGCCCCAGGCCCCGACAACACCACGGGGCCCCTCGGAGCCTGTGTCACCCAGGTAGGCGCCGCCTCGCCCCAGACTGCCCGCTGCTCTGTGGCATCCGCCTCTCCCCAGGGCCAGCCGGTGGCTGTCTCTCCATCCCCCGCCCCGTCTGTTTGTGTGACCGGCTGTCCGTCCACTACCCCCTCCTGCTGTGCCTGCTGCTTCCTCCCTGTAGTGACTTCCTGCCCAAGAAGATCCCCTTGGGAGAAGAGATGCGGCCCCCGCCCAAGCCCCCTCGGCTCTACCTGCCCCAGGAGCGGACCCCCGAGGAGACTCCGGTGAGGGGCGGGCAGGACTGGGGGGCCCTGTGGGAGGGTGGCAAGCCTGGCGGGAGGGCAGGAACACAGCTCAGCCCTGCCCTGCCCTGGGCCCCCTCTACCTCGCAGTGCACCAAACGCCCGCACATGGAGCCCAGGCCTGGACTCGCGGCGCCCCAGCCGGCCTCCCCCACCAGGTATAAGCGAGTGTGTCTGTTCACCACCACTGCCTGGTGAGTGCCTACGCTGGCTCGCTCTCCGGCTCTTACTTGCCAAGCTGACATTATTGAGCGCCAGGTGTATGCCAGACTCCTGGGAATTCCTGTCCAGGAACCTGCACCCTGCAGGGCTCTGCCGTGAGCCCCTCAATGGGCAGGGCCTCCCAGGGCTGGGCATGGAAGGCTTGGAGTGGCCCTGGGTGGAGGCCCAGACTTTGACCTGGGGTGGGGGCTTCCTGTGCTCAATCTTGCAGGAAGACCCCCCGGCTTCAGGACTTCCGCTGCTTGGCTGTGCTGGGCCGGGGACACTTTGGGAAGGTGAGGGGTGCGGGTGGGAGGACCCCTGGGGTAGTGAGAGGCGAAGGGAAGGCTCTCCACACTGCCCCCCTGCAGCCACCCCCCTGTGGCCCTCAGGTCCTCCTGGTGCAGTTCAAGGGCACGGGGAAGTACTACGCCATCAAAGCGCTGAAGAAGCACGAGGTTCTCAGCCGAGACGAGATGGAGAGGTGTGCAGTGGGGCTGCAGGCACCCGGGACCCTGGCCTTGGGGGGACCCGGGGTCGCTGGCGCCCAGGCTTCCGCTGAAGGCTCCTGGGCTGTGCAGTGGTGACCCTGTGCGCTCAGCCCAGGCCTCGTTTCTGTCTTTTGTGTGTGCGTGTTTGTGCGTGTGTGTGTGTCAGAGTTCACACTCCCATCTGCTGGTTCATTCCCCAAATGCTCACCAAGGCTGGGGCTGGGCTATGAGGCCAAAGCAGGAAGCTGGGACCTCACTCCAAGGGCCCCACCTGAGTGACAAGAACCCAGTTACTGGAACTGTCACCACTGTCTTTGGGTTCCGCATGAGCTGGAAACTGGAGTCGGGAGCCAGGGGCAGGGTAGCACCCAGGTGCTGCACTATAAGACGTGGGCACGCAGTCGGCGTGCTGACTGGTAGGCTGAGCGCCTGCGCCTGGGTCCTGTTAGCGCCTGCAGCCGTGACCGGGGTGCCCTTGGACAGGGCCCCCATTCTCTGAACCTCAGCTTGCTCTTCTGTAAAGAAGGGTGCAGGCCCAGTGACCCCTGTGAGCTCCAGTTCATGGAGAGCGGTCACTGCCTGCTGACGCCCCAGGGAGCCAGGGCTGTCGTGTGAGCGGCGGGGCACAGCCCAGGGTCTCTCCTCTGAGCCGCTGCCTTCCCCGCCAGCCTGTACTGCGAGAAGCGGATCCTGGAAGCCGTGGGCCGCTCAGGGCACCCCTTCCTGCTCTCCCTCCTCGCCTGCTTCCAGACCTCCAGCCACGCCTGCTTTGTGACAGAGTTTGTGCCCGGGGGTGACCTCATGATGCAGATCCACGAGGAAGTCTTCCCGGAGCCCCAGGCCTGGTGCGTTCCCGCCTCTGCCACTGCGTCTCGCAGCCGCCTCCCCGGTCCCCTCTCGCTGGTAGCCCCCATCCTGCTTCCTCCAGGGTCCCCCGTGGCAAAGACAGGCCTTGGTTCAAACCCTGGCACCAACTCTGGTAGTATTTGTTTTTTTCAAGCATTTATTTATTTGAAAGATAGAGTTAGAGAGAGGTGCGTTAGCCAGGAGCTGGATCTGAAGTGGAGCAGCCGGGACTTGAACTGACGTTCATGTGGGATGCCGGGGTCCTAGGTGGCTTAACCAGCTGCACCACAGTGCTGGCCCCACCCACAGGTTTTGTGATCCTGGACCTCAGTTTGTGTAGCTGGTAATTGGGCTTGTGGTAGCTTTCACTGGATCGTGGCGTAGAGGAGAGGAGTGAGGAGTTAGCACAGGGGCTGCAGCTGGAGTCACTGTTCGCCCTCTGCAGCTCCGAAGTCCTGGTTGGCACAGCGGCTCTGCCATGAACCAGGTGACCCCGGGTGCCCTCTCACCCGGAGTCGCCGATCCTCACTAGAACCACGGGCAGGATGAGTTGGGTGCTGGGGGATGCCGGGAGAGTAAGGTGTGCCGAATGCTTGGCACAGTTGAGCCCAGGGGAGGGTGGGCTCTGGGTGCACCCAACCTTGGGACCACTGAAGAAGCCCCCCAAGCCCAGGCCTGATGCGTGTCCCAGTCTCTCGCCCACATCTGACTGCTCAGGACACCTGGGGCCTCCCTGGGGCCTGTCCTGGGCCTGAGCTTACCCACTCCTTCAGCTTCTACTTGGCCTGCGTGGTCCTGGGGCTGCAGTTCTTGCATGAAAAGAAGATCATTTACAGGTATACCAGTTATCCCAGAGTGCCGGGGATGGGGTGGGGCGGTGGGGGGTGAGGAGGGGGCACGGTGGGGGGCGGTGGGGGTGGAGGAGGGGGCACGGTGGGGGTGGTGGGGGCCGAGGAGGGGGCATGGTGGGGGGGTGGTGGGGGGTGAGGAGGGGCACGGTGGGGGGCGGTGGGGGTGGAGGAGGGGGCACGGTGGGGGTGGTGGGGGCCGAGGAGGGGGCATGGTGGGGGGGCTGCCCCCCCGGGCAGGTGCTCTTCCAGGATGCCAGGGGTGGTGGGGGGTGAGGAGGGGGCACGATGGGAGGGCTGTCCTCCTGCGGCTGCCCCTGCGGCAGGTGCTCCTCCCAGCCCCCCGTGATCTGCCCCTTCCTTGCTGTCAGGGATCTGAAGTTGGATAATCTCCTGCTGGATGCCCAGGGCTTCCTGAAGATTGCAGACTTCGGGCTGTGCAAGGAAGGTGGGGGCTGCGTCCTCCGCTGTGCCCGCCTAGCCCAGGCCGACCGGCGTCCCCCACCCCCACCCCCACCCCGAGCCCTGCTTCCCCCGCCTTGGCCTTCCCCGGAGCGGGCAGCTGGCCCGTCAGCTCTTCTTCCTAGCTTGCACTGCACCCTGGGCCAGAGCGAGAGCCCGCAGACAGGGCTGGGAGAGGGCACTCCGTGCCGCCTTCCGTGTGACCTTGGCACAGGAGCGTGGCTGAGACAGCTTCCTCATACAGCCGGACGGTTCCACTTCCTAGTGCACGTGGACGGGCTTGGCGCAGAGGGTTCTGGGACCGGGGCTCACCAGGCAGCCTTTGGCGGGGTGTTGCAGGCATCGGCTTCGGGGACCGGACCAGCACCTTCTGTGGCACCCCGGAGTTCCTGGCCCCCGAGGTGCTGACCCGAGAGGCCTACACGCGGGCTGTGGACTGGTGGGGGCTGGGCGTGCTGCTCTACGAGATGCTGGTGGGGGAGGTGAGTGCCGGGGGTGGGGGCGGCCTGCCGGGGCCTGTGGTTGGGGTGGCCAGGCACCCTGCTGAGCCCCGTGCCCACAGTGCCCGTTCCCGGGGGACACGGAGGAAGAGGTGTTTGACTGCATCGTCAACGCGGATGCCCCGTACCCCCACTTTCTTTCAACCCAAAGCCTGGAGCTCATTCAGCAGGTGAGTATGGCAGGGTCCCGGCTGGGCGGGGGTGGGGCAGCTGCTCCTGGGCTGGGGCCTCTGCCTCCGGGTGGCGCTCGCCGCTGCCCAGTGCACTTGGGGGGCCTGCGGCGCCTGGCAGTGCCGGGCCCGGGTGCCCCACGTGCGCTCCTGCCCTGTCGCAGCTCCTGCGGAAGACCCCAGAGCAGCGTCTGGGGGCGGGCGAGCAGGACGCGGAGGAGATCAAGGCTCAGCCGTTCTTCAGGGTGAGCGGCCGGGCGGCACGGTGCCCGGTGCCTGGCAGGGTGGGGGTGGGAGGAGGGGTGGGGTCACAACCCCCAGGGCTGCGGCTGCTGGCCCCTCAGTTCCCCCTCTGCTCTTGGCCCCAGGCCACCGACTGGCGGGCCCTGCTCGCCCGCACCGTCCGGCCTCCCTTCGTGCCCACCCTCTGCGGCCCCGCAGACCTGCGCTACTTCGAGGGTGAGTTCACGGCGCTGCCGCCTGCGCTGACCCCGCCTGCCCCGCAGAGCCCCCTCACCGCCCGCCAGCAGGCCGCCTTCCGCGACTTCGACTTCGTGTCTGAGCGATTCCTGGAGCCCTGAGGCCCTCTCCCGGCGCCTCCGCCCCAGCCCCGGACTGGCCAACCCCCCGCTGCCCGCAGGCCCAGGCCTTCCACAGTGCTTCTATGCTTTGGGGCCCCAGGTAGCGGCCTGGGGACTGCCAGCGTGGGCTCCGCCCAGCGTCACTGGGCAAGGTGCACCCTCCCCGGCCTCCCGCCCTAACCCTGCCTCCTGGGAAGACCTGGGCCAGAAAGGGTGCCACAGCGAGGAACAGTTTATGTTTTTAATACTTGACTTGCTTTACGGATCATTAAATTTGTACAACTGTGCATTGGAGGCGGCCCGGCTTGGGGGGGTGGGGTGGAGCCCGGCGTCCATCTGTGCGTGAGCCCTGGAAGCCACCGCTGAGTGAGGCTGGGATCCTGCCTGGCAACAGTGCAGAGGCCAGGGAAGAGTGGGCAGCGCCGAAGAGCCCCAGGCCACACCAGGGGCTGGCCCCGGGCCGGGCATACACAGCCTCTCCGGTTTTTAGGCACGAGATGGTGGCCCTGCCTTCAGTGGCCCTAAACAGCCTGGCCGCTGTCCTCGTCCTCCTCCTCCTCGGCCCAGAGGGTCTCCCAGGACCCCGAGGGCCAGCCGCAGAAGAAGTGGGCCAGGTTGCGGGTCAGGCCGCGGTCGAAGGGGTTGCTGGGGCGCTGGCGGAGGTAGGCGATGCGGTGCGAGGAGAGGAACTCCCAGGTGGTGGTGTTGCTGGCCACCAGGTAGAGGTGCGAGGCCAGCAGCAGGCTGGCCACCAGCGAGAAGAGGCAGAGTAGCAGGAAGGCGGCGAACAGGAGCCCGCTGGAGCGCAGCCACAGCCCCCAGGGCTGGAAGAAGCGGAGGCCGGACCTGCGGGGCGGGGACAGGGCGTGGGGCTGGGGGGCGGCAGGGGAGCCCGCTGCCCCTCGCTCCGCCCAGGCCACCCCCGCTCGCCGGGTGGTGGCGGTGGCACCTACCAGGCCAGGTAGAGGCCCCACAGCAGCACCACCAGCTGCAGGGCCAGGTAGGCCACGAAGAGCGGGTGGTTGCGCTCCCCGACGCAGTTCTCCATCCAGGGGCAGTGGTGGTCGTAACGGCGGACGCAGCGGCGGCAGTCACGGCAGTGCCGGGACCGCAGGGGCTGCTGTGGGCGTGGACGGGATTGGGGCTCAGTGCGGCCCTCCCGTGGGGCCAGGAACTGGGTCTGGGAGGCCTTCCTCGAGCGGGGGTGGGGTGGGGGTGGCTGGGGCACCAGGCAGCACTCACCAGCACCAGGCAGTATCTGCAGCGCCGCAGGGGCATGGCCGGGGGAACCATGGCCGTCTGCTCCTCCTTGGGCTCCTCCTGGAAGTCAAGCATGTTGGGGGTGAGGCGGGGTCCCCTGCGGAGACAGATGGCACCGGCGGGGGTGGGGCCTGCCCCGTGCAGAACGCAAGGGTGGAGTGGGGAAGGACCCCTGGCCTGTGAGGCTGTGTGGCCTTCAGGCTGCTGGCCCGCTCTGGGCCGTGGTGGATCCATCCCTGGGGCCAGGTACGGGGCGTAACAAGAAAAGCCGCCACCAGCAACGCCATGATCCCATGGCACAGCACCGTTCGTGTCCCGGCTGCTCCACCCACCCGCCCTCCCCTCCTCCCTCCCTTCATTTATTTGAAAGACAGAGTTAGAGAGAGAGAGAGAGAGAGAGAGAGATCTTCATCCACTGGTTCACTCCCCAGATGGCCACAATGGCTGGAGCTGAGCCAGGAGCTTCTTCCGCGTCTCCCACGCAAGTGCAGGGGCCCAAGGGCATTACCCCGCTGCACCACAGCACCGGCCACTGCTCAGCTTTCAATCCCGCTCCTTGCTAATGCGGATGGTGGCACAAGCCTGTGGGTCCCTGCCACCCACCTGAGAGCCGGATGAAGCTCCTGGCTGCAGCCTGGCCCAGCCCTGGCCGGCTGCGGCCATTTGGGGAGTGAATCAGCAGAGGGAAGATATTTCTCTGTGTCACTTTGGCTTTCAAATAAATAAGTCTTTTTTAAAAAGCATTCAGGGACCAGCACTGTGGCGCAGTGGGTTAAAGCCCTGGCCTGCAGTGCCGGCATCCCATATGGGCACTGGTTCGAGTCCCAGCTGCTCCACTTCCGATCCAGCTCTCTGCTGTGGCCTGGGAAAGCAGTAGAAGGTGGCCTAAGTGGTTGGGCCCCTGCACCCACATGGGAGACCTGGAAGAAGCTCCTGGCTCCTGGTTTCAGATCAGATCAGCTCTGGCCGTTGGGGCTAATTGGGGAGTGAACCACTGGATGGAAGACCTCTCTCTCTCTGGCTCTACCTCTCTCTAACTTTCAAATAAATAATATAAATATATATATATATATATATATATATATAAAATAGCATTCACCCAGTGCCACAAGAAGCCCGCAGCACAGGCCCGGTGTGCAGGCTGTCGCTGGGGTCTGGATCCCCGTGGGCCCCTCGGGGGTCTCGTTACCTGGGCCTGGGGCTGGGCGTTCACGTAGCCTGGGTCCATGAGCGACACAGCCAGGTACAGCAGCAGGGAGCCCAGCACCAGCAGCAGGAAGGTGAGCGGCAGCAGCAGCTGCCCCTGCTCTTCCCACTGCCGCAGCTCTGGGGGCCGGAGAGGGTGGTGAGGTTTCGGCTGGGCGGGACCAGAGGGGCAGGGGCGGGGACGGGGGCTGGGCGGGACCAGAGGGGCGGGGGCGGGGCCGGACCAGAGGGGCGGGGGCGGGGGCGGGGCTGGGGCTGACCAGAGGGGCTGGGGCGGGGTGGGGGCGGGGGCAGGGGCTGGGCCTGACCAGAGGGGCTGGGGCTGGAGAAGGGGCAGGGGCAGGGGCTGGGGCGGGGCCGGGGCGGGGCTGGACCAGAGGGGCGGGGGCGGGGCGGGGGCGGGGCCTGACCAGAGGGGCTGGGGCAGGGGCTAGGGCTGGGGCTGGGGCGGGGGCGGGGGCGGGGCCGGACCAGAGGGGCTGGGGCAGGGGCTGGGGCAGGGGCTGGGGCGGGGCCGTGGGCTGGGGTGGGGGGCGTGGCTGGAGGTGAGCAGGTGCTCCTCGCTGAAGGCAGGCCTGGAGGTGGGGTCCCAGCGTGGCTGCTGCCCAGCGTGCAGGCCCGAGAACAGGGTGGTAGGGAGCCATGGACGGTTACAGGCAGGAGCTGATGGGTGGGGTGGGGTGGTTGGGGGAGCCTGGAGGAAGGGGTGGGGGCGAGTGACGCCTGGCAGGGGGGTGGAGGGGAGGGAGAGCAGCCTGGGCCCGGGTGGGGCTCTGGGGAGGTGGCGAGGGGGGTCTCGGGGGCGTGCCACGGCCAGACAGCGGAGCGTGGCTTTGAAAGGCGGCCCGAGGAGAGGTCCTTTTCGGATGGGGAGACCTGAGCAACCCCTTCAGGTGGAGGAGCGGGGCTGGGGGGATGACAGGAATGGGGGGCGGCGGTGGGAGAATGATGCTATCGCGGCGGCCGGATAGGGGACGGGAGGGGTCCGGAGGGGGGCGCTCAGCGCTTGGCTCTGGCGGGCACCGGATTGTCCCAGGATGGCCAGGGCGGCTGGGTTAATGAGGGGTCAGCCGGGTCGCGGGCGGAGGGCAGGTGGCTCTCGGAGTGACGGATGGGGAGGGGTCTCGGCAGCCGGCGGATCTCGGGGGAACAGGCAGGGGGCTCCGGGGAGCCCCAAGCGTCTGGGGAGCCACGCGGGGTCGGGTGGTCCGGCTCACCGGTGTCGTGCAGAAAGAGCACCAGCGTGATCCCCCAGGTCAGCACGGTGTGCCCGGTCCGCACCAGGACCCCGGGGCTGAGGAGCGCCCAGGGCGCCATCGCCTCGGCCCGGGGACCCACCCGGAAGAAGCGCCCAGAGGGGCGGGCCCTGCGAGGGAGAGGCGCCGCAGCCGCCCGAGGATTGGCGGGCCCTGGAGGTGGGCGGGGCATCGTCGGGCGAGCGAGGCTTCCTATTGGGTGACAGCTGAGGCCGAGCGAGCCCTCAAGCCAACAGGTGCCCGAGGAGGCGGAGGGCGGGCCCGGCGCGCGCGCAGCCGGCGAGCGCCCCACGCCGGCCCCCGCCAGCCAGGTAACTTTTGGAAGCCCTGGGCGTGCGGACCCCGCTCTCTGGGCTCCGCCCCGACGGCATCGCGCATGCGTAGAGCTCCCGCTCCAACAGTCAGAGGCTGTGCGTGCGCGGAGGCGCTCGTGCCGGGTCGGTGTGCGGTGAAGGCTGGCACCCGCCCCGCCTCCGGTCGTTGGTCAGGTGTGGGAGGTCAGCGGGGGCGCGTGGGCAGCCGTGGCCGGGGGACCCCCAGCCGAGCCCGGGACAGGCGTTGAGGCCCTGACCCGCTCACCCATGCGGCCTGCGGTCTGCGGGGCCCGCGTCCTGGGGTTGAGTAAGGGGGTGCGCTGTCCCGCGGGGACCGCCTCGCCTCGCGGTGCGCTGTCCCCTCGCGGTGCACTGTCCCCTCGCGGTGCGCCGTCCCCTCGCGGTGCACTGTCCCTTCGCGGTGCGCTGTCCCCTCGCGGTGCGCTGTCCCTTCGCCTCGCGGTGCGCTGTCCCCTCGCGGGGTACTGTCCCCTCGCGGTGCGCCGTCCCCTCGCGGTGCGCTGTCCCCTCGCGGGGTACTGTCCCCTCGCGGTGCGCCGTCCCCTCGCGGTGCGCTGTCCCCTCGCGGTGCGCTGTCCCCTCACGGGGTACTGTCCCCTCGCGGTGCGCCGTCCCCTCGCGGTGCGCTGTCCCCTCGCGGTGCGCTGTCCCCTCGCGGTGCGCCGTCCCCTCGCGGTGCGCTGTCCCGCGGGGACCGCCTCGCCAACACCCTGCAGAGTCCAGCCCAACCCCCGGCTGTCCGCCTGGCCCCAAGGCCTCCCGCCGCCGGCTCTGTCTTCCCACGGGTCCTCCTGCAGCTTCCTCTGACCAAGGCTGTTCTGATCGCTCCACATCCCTGTGAGTGTCGGTGGGCAGAGGCGTCTCCGTCCTGCGGGGTCCACGCCCCCATACACCTACCTCATAGCCCTGGGGCAGCTTAGGGGGTGGGCGACTCGGCAGGGCCAATCAGAACCTTTCTGTGCGATTTCAGACGCCTAAAACTTTTTTTTTTTTTTTTTTTTTAAGATTTATTTATGGGGCTGGCGCTGTGGTGTAGTGGGTAAAGCCACCACCTGCAGTACCAGCATCCCATATGGACGCCTCTGTCTCTCTGCCTCTCCTCTCTCTAACGCTTTCAAATAAATAAATAAAATTATTTATTTGAAAGTCAGAATTACACACAGATTGAAGGAGAGGCAGAGACAGAGAGAGGTCTTCCATTTAGATGCTGGTTCACTCCCCAGATGGCCACAATGGCCAGAGCTGCACCGATCTGAAGCCAGGAGCCACGTGTTTCTTCCGGGCCTCCCAAGTGGGTGCAAGGGCCCAAGCACTTGGGCCATCCTCCACTGTTTTCCCAGGCCACAGCAGAGAGCTGGATTGGAAGTGGAGCAGCTGGGGGCCGGCGCCGCGGCTCACTAGGCTAATCCTCCGCCTTGCGGCGCTGGCACACCAGGTTCTAGTCCCGGTTGGGGCACCGGATTCTGTCCTGGTTGCCCCTCGTCCAGGCCAGCTCTCTGCTGTGGCCAGGGAGTGCAGTGGAGGATGCACTGCACCCCATGGGAGACCAGGAGATAAGCACCTGGCTCCTGCCATCAGATCAGTGCGGTGCACCCGCAGCGCTGGCCGCGGCGGCCATTGGAGGGTGAACCAACGGCAAAGGAAGACCTTTCTCTCTGTCTCTCTCACTGTCCACTCTGCCTGTCAAAAAATAAAAATAAAAAAAGTGGAGCAGCTGGGACTCGAACCGGTGCCCGTATGGGATGCTGGCACCGCAGGGGTGGCTTTACCCGCTACGCCCCCGTGCCGGCCCCTTGGGGTCCTTAAGCATCAGGAATAGGATAAAGGGCAGCGGTCCAACTCCCTGAGAGGCACAGAAGTGAGAGGGAGTGAGAGGGAGGCTCAGCCTGGCCTGGGCGTCCAGATCCCGCGTGCTGAAGCTGGTGCTAGCCGCTTAGTTGGCGTTTCCCACCTGTGGCCACGCCGGGTCGGCACTGAGCTGTTTCCCACCTGTGGCCACGCCGGGTCGGCACTGAGCTGTTTCCCACCTGTGGCCATGCTGGGTCGGCACTGAGCCACGCCGGGTCGGCACTGAGCTGGGCGCCGGTGACTTGCAGCTCAGCTGTGATCTCTGTGCCCGTCACCCACGCAGGTCACCCTGCAGCCGCCTGCTCTGAGCCCACCGCTGTGCCCGTGCCACGGGTGAACAAAGCTGGACGCTTGCTTGAGTGGCAAGAAACAGGTTTTTTTTTTAATTTTAAAAATGTTTATTTTCATCTTACAAGGCAGAGTGATCCAGAGACTCTTCCATCCGCTGGTTCACTCGCCAAATGCCTGCTGCGGCCAGGCATGGGCCAAGACAAAGGCAGGAGTCCAGAGCTGCCGTGATGGCCGGGACCAGGCACTAGGGCCGACACCTGCTGCCTCCCAGCATGCATCAGGAGGGGGCTGCATCGGAAGCGGAGGTGCGGATGCGGCCAGTTGTGTCTGTTAGCTGGCCATCATGGAAATTAGGACTTTCCTCCACAGGCGTGGCTCTCGGTCCTTGAGAAAGACCCTCCCCAGTGGCCGGGATGCAGTCTCACTAAAGGCCCAGGCAGGACCTCAAGTGTGAGTCGTTTGGGCAGGTGCTCTGCGCACAGGTGCAGGGGCTGGCCACCAGGGGTCGGCCACACACACCTCGAGGGGACCGGGGTCATCCAACCATGTGGCCTTGGACTGTTAGCCTTTAGGACTTTCCATGTGTGAGTGGGGGTGGCAGATGAAGTCATTTGTACTCAGAGTGTGTGGTTTTTGTAGGCCCGGGGTGAGGCCTGGCCAAGGAGAAGGCTCCAGGCACGGATGCCAGGAACACTCCCGCCTGGCTCCCACCCTCCCTCCAGGTGCCAGGCCCCGCACTGCCGTGCCCTTCCTCCACTGGGTGCTGCTGTGGTGGCACCCGCAGGGTGCTGGGGCCTCCGCCGCCCTCCGTGACCCTGGGTGTGGTCTCCTGAGGCCTGGGAGCCCAGCCTGTCCTTGGCTCTGGGAGCCCGGCCACACCCTGACATGCAGGGTGGGTCCCTGCTGCCTGCCCCTCAGGCACCTACTGCCCCAGGTCCACACCCATGCCTGTCTTGACAACTCCCATCTTGCCAGGGCAGAGCGCAGTGGGTGCACCCCCGGAGGGCGAGGTGGCATCCAGTGTGATGGTGCTGTGAGGACGCTGGCTCCTGGGCCGCCCACGCCCTCACGCTGGGAGACTGTGTCCCCCTCCCCCGGGCGTCTTCCAGTGAGCTTCCTGTAGGTTTGCATGGCTCTGGTTCTCGTCAGGTGGTATTTCCTGGGGAGCCGTGATACAATGGCCTCTGGCTTAGCTATCAGGGTGCTTTGGGAGAGGATGGTCGTGTCTGAAGGCACTGCATGGCGATATATATCTCCTCTTTTACGTTCGCTTTTATTTATTTGAGAGCGAGATCTTCCATCTGCTGGTTCACTCCCTACATGCCTGTAACAGCCAGTGCCGAACTAGACTGAAGCCAGGACCCTGTAACTTGATCCGGGTCTCCCACGTGGGTGGCTGGAGCTCAGATCACCTGAGCCCCATGGCTGCCTCCCGGGGTCTGCATTAGCAGGAGGCTGGAATTTAACCCAGGCGCTGAGCCAGCGTCTACATGTCTACCCTTCATCTGGCAAGTTTTTTATGTTTTAAAATATTTATTTATTCATTTATTTGAAAGGCAGAATGACACAGAGGGAAGGCCAGAGAGCGAGCTTCCATCTGCTGGTTCACTCCCCAAGCAGTACACGTTCTGTTTATAAACGCCCCAGCGCGGGGGACCCCAGCAGAGGTGGACTAACAGAGCAGGGATGCGGGGGAGGCTCTGGGCACGGGAATGGTGGGGACACAGGCTGGGGAGCTGCGGGAGGGCGCGTGGGCCCATCTGGGAGCTCCTGCTCTCCGCCTCGCCGTGGCCTGAATGTGTCCCCCCGGAGATCCGCGTGCTGGCAACTTAGTCCCCGATGCCAGCGTAGGTCACGGGGACCCCTCTCTCCTCTGCCTGCCAGGTGAGGACCCCTCGCCCTCCCGCCTCCCGCCTGCCGAGGACACAGGAGAAGGCGGGACCTTCGTCTTGGCCGTTCAGGCCAGAGAATAAACTTCTGTTCTTTATAAATTCCGGGTCACAGGTGTTGTATTTTGCAGCATGAAGTGGACTCAGATACTGCTGTGGTTCATGTCCCTGAAGGGCTCCCGTACCGGGAGGCTGGGTCCCTTGGAGAGGTGGCGCGGTGCGGGTGCTCAGAACCGCAAGGACCTCTTCCTCCTCGGTGCCCGCGCCAGGCGTTTTCCCGGCGTGACGGAAGCTGACTCATTTGCAGAGGCCTCCTTTGCCGTGGCAGCCTCGAGGCCATGAGTCACTTGACCTCTCGGAACCTCAGCGTCGTCGTCCGTGAGATGGGCCGCTGGGTGGACGACCGGGCAGCGCGACCCACACGACACACTCAGCACTGTCGCCTGCCCGGGCTGGCACGGCCCTCCCTCCCCGGAGTGACCACTCCCCAGATCCCAAGACGGACCAGGCTCCCCAATGTCCTTTCTGCCCAGGCCCCGAGCCCCTCGGGTAGCCGTGGGCGGGGCTCTCACCGGGAAGGAGAGGCTTGGTCCAGGCCCTGGTCAGGGGGTGAGAAGGGGGGACCTCGTTCATGGAGGGGGGGAGGGTCAGATGCTCAGGTCCCAGCACATTCAGTCCCAGCCTGGGGCTCCCACGGGAAGCCTTCACTCAGGCGCCTTCCACGGAGACGGGGAGCCACAGGCTCAGCGTGGCCTCAGGCACGGGAGTGCAGGGCACCTGACACTGGGCACCGTGGCCCCAGCGCCGGGGTGGGAACCGCGCATCCCGGCGCCCCAGCTGCGGACCCTCTGCGGGGACGCACCCCCACGCCCCTGGGGCCAGGCCTGGCAGTTGGCATCGTCTCTCTTCTCTGAAGTCTCTTGGAAGAAGCCTCCTCCGACTGCACCGGGGACACAGGTGGGCTCTTCCCTCTCCCAAGCCCCCCACCCAGCCAACTCCTGCTGCCCTGAGCCTGTGCATACTAGCCTAGAAGAGAGCGCAAGTTCACCTTCTGTCTGGCTCCCATCAAAAAGCTCTCCTGGGTCACAGCGCGTTCAGAAAACGTGGTATGAGTCTTTGTGTCTCGAGACATAGA